GTATATATATTATGTGTCAGACATTAACGGTATATATTGACATGTGTCAGACATATTAACGGTATATATTGACATGTGTCGGACATAGTAACGGTATATATTGACATGTGTCGGACATATTAACGGTATACATTGACATGTGTCGGGCATATTAACGGTATATATTGACATGTGTCGGACATTAACGGTATATATTGACATGTGTCGGGCATATTAATGGTATACATTAACATGTGTCAGACATATTGACGGTATATATTGACATGTGTCGGGCATATTAACAGTATATATTAACATGTCTCGGACATATTAACGGTATATATTGACATGTGTCGGGCATATTGACGGTATATATTGACATGTGTCGGAAACATTAACAGTATATATTAACATGTGTCGGACATATTAACAGTATATATTAACAGGGTTAGGGTCATCAGCTCATTGTCGTCGCTCACTTCTCATCAGAGGCAGACCATTATATCAGAAAGTACAATGACAAGAATCTTCCTGCTGGTCTTAATTGACTGAAGCTCCTCCAGTCAGTGTTACTCTCAGCAGCTCAGATTCTGGAGGGTCCCCTTTATACACAGTAAATTAATATATGTGTGTATAAAGTATTATGTTCATTCATGTTAACTCTCTTTGTGTTTAGTTTTTCAGTTCTTCCTGTTCTTCTGGAGACTTCGATCTGGACAGTTTGGAAACTGTGAGTTAAAAAACACAGACTGGTTTTCACTCATGTATTGACCATGTATACATACAGGTATATACTGTATACCATATATAAATCATATAAACGTACAGGTGTATATATATCATATAAACATACAGGTATATATAGATCATATATAAATCATGTAAACATAAAGGTATGTATGTATCATATGTATCATAAATAAGGTTAAGATAAGGGTTATTGATGACGTATGACAGTATTATTATATGTATATGTGTGTACAGGTACATACTGATTAAACATGTTTGTGTTTTGATGATGACCTCACAACCATTTGACTGTTATGTCACTGTTTCCTCTCAGCTGCTGTCTGAAGAAGTCTCTAATGGAGGTGTGGAAAGCACCATGAACACAGGTAACACACACTCACCTTCTGAACTTCTGTACTTGTGAGGACCCTCTTTGAATCTCCTCTCTGATTGGTCCAGGGAAGCAGCTCGTGCAGTACACGCCCACACCCATCCTGATGTCTGAACCAATCAGCACCGACCTGCCCTCCCTCCTAGAGCTGGAGGCGGGGCCTTTCTTCATCTCTGACCCGCCCACCGATGACCCTGCTGCCGCTCTGCTAAGCCATGCCCACCTGGACTCTGACCTCTGACATCTGCAGGAAAGGGCGTGGCATGTGATTTATCGGTCACCATGGCAACAGGACTCAGCAGCAGCGATAGGATGAAATCGATCTGTTGATCGATCAAGTTATATTATGCAGATTAATATTAACCAGTTTATATACCTGTCTTCTTCTACTCTTTTATTTAGCGTTTGTTTTTTCTTCTTTGCTGCTTTTATTAAAAAGTTTGTTTGACGCTTGCTGTTAAAAACACCTGTAGTCCAATCAGAACAGGTCTGAGGATCATGTGACTTCTGCATGTCTTTGTTTTCATGTGTCAAATATAGAAGATGAAGAGAATCTGGATATTTTTTGAAAAGTTTATTATAAATGAGAAGTGTTTATTAGATACGTAGATAGAGATGCATCGGTCCTGATGAGTCCGATCAACATCGGTCCTGATGAGTCCGATCAACATCGGTCCTGATGAGTCCGATCAACATCGGTCCTCATGAGTCTGATCAATCATTGGTCCTCATGAGTCCGATCAATCAACATCGGTCCTCATGAGTCCGATCAATCAACATCGGTCCTCATGAGTCCGATCAATCAACATCGGTCCTCATGAGTCCGATCGTCCGATCAACATCGGTCTTGATGAGTCCGATCAACATCGGTCCTGATGAGTCCGATCAACATCGGTCCTGATGAGTCCAATCAATCATGAGAATCAATAGAAGTTCTTATTGAATCTTTTGTGCCGTTTTTATGATATGGTTAATATTGTTCCCTCTGATGTGAATAATATCTGAATGGCTCGTACTCTTCAGTGTGTGGATGAATGCGTGTTTTAGCGCCGAAGTGTTGCTGGATTGATTTGTCATGCTTTGTCATATAAATATGTGACTGGTTGTTGTGTTTGTTCTTGTCATTGTGTTAATTACATTGATTTTGACTATATGCATTGTCCGAACCTGTTAAAAACTGACCTATTTTTTAGGCCTCTGCTTGAAAATTGCATACCCATACTAAGAGTATATCTCTGCAACCACAAGGTCTATTTGAATAATTTTGGTGTTATAATAAAGGGAACACTCGTGAGATTTGTTCAGATGTGTACATATCAGTATATATGGTACAGGTTAAGAGTAAATGAAGATGGGACGCCACAAATTTAAAAGTTTCAGCTTCGCCTAAAAAGCAAAAAGCACTTACAGGATTGTTATTTCCTTGGAATGATGCAGCTGCAGGTGTAAACCTCTCCTAAATCATAACCCAATATGTGAACAGTCTCAATGCAAAGTTTCACTTTGATAAAGTGAAGCAGAACAAAGGTTTTAGTACAGAGGTCAGGCGAGGTCTCCAAAATGGTCATTTTGGCACCATCTGTGCCATTTGAATTTTCTCATGTACCAAACTATATATTTCACTTGTATATCACTAATAGTGTTCAATACATCCAAATACAGCAGTTTTGGCTTTATTTTGAAGCCAAAATCCTCTCTGAACCCTCTCTGTGGGTACATCCCAAGTCTCTTAATTGCTTCCCCGTTTCCCTCACTTGCGTCCTTTCCTTGTGTCTTAGTCCCTCCCACCAGGGATGCATGGAGGAAACCATGCGAGGAGAGAGGAAACGAGGAAATATGTTTTAAGACGCGTGAGACGTCCTTTCCTCAGTTGTGTCACGTGAAGCGACGTCTGTTTCTGATGACGGTGCTGATGATCACAGCTGATCAGCTGTCAGTCGGTTTTAACAGCTGGAGAGACTTTTGATAAGTTTGTGTCTGTTCACATGATCACTGTACTTAATAATAGTAACTAATAATACTAATAACTAATGAAGACACACAGTAATCACCACTGTAGAGGTGTTTCTCTCTACTCTGTTAACAAACTGTGTCCTGTGTTCTGTTTATAAGCACAGGATCCATTTCTACCGGCGGAATGTGATCGTGTTATTTATGAATTATTTGCGTCTGTACGTTTTGAAATTCAGACTGTGATGTCGATATTAAATAACCCAGAATATGATTATTGTTTCTCTTAAATGATAAAACTCATCAAACACTCAGGAATGATGTAAAAAGTGTTTAGTCTCTCCAGCTCTCTCTGACTTTAATTGTATTCATAATAAAGTTATTGAGGGAAACATCAGATCATGAAAACACAAATCTTTCTAATAAATGTAGAAAGTTGTTTGTGGTCCTTTTGTTGTTCAGTCTACAATGAAAATTTATTTAAACCAGATGTTGAATCAGAAAACGAATCAAATATAAAGCTTGAGTTTAATCTGTGATCCGTCTTCACTGTTTACATGTTGAACCAAATCTCATGAATCCGATCGGCTGCAGCGTCCCATCACATAACTGATGAACAATGAGGGGGCGTGTTGGCCGTTAAAACACTTCCTGGAAGTCTGTTCTCGTGGGTCCTCGCTCATGGCTCCTCAGAGATCCCTCCTCTCTCCTCGATCCTCGATCCTCAGAGCTAAATGACAATTAAGAGACTTGGGATGTACCCTGTGTCTCTGCGTACTGGAGGTTTTCTCGATGTCAGCCCCCTGTGAGTACGCAGGGCTCTATCTCAGCAACCCATTGGTCGATTTCAGTGATTGACGCCTCATTTGAAGCGTTAGAGCCAATAGAATATAGCTATACCGACCAAAATGAGATTGACAGCACTGTTAGCCAATCAGAATCAGCAAGGTGCCGTCCTGTGAGACATGCTGGTTGTGACGCAAGGCGATTCTCAGACTTCCTGCATGGACCCACAGCAATGTAGAAATCCCCAGAATGATTTTAGTGTAACACAGGACGTAGGTATTTCAGTGTGGAATTACCAGGAAAATAAACATCACGGAAAAACAGCAAAGCGATTTCTGTTGGTGTTCTTTGGGTCATATCTCGCTGATGCTTTGTAGTATCGCATAAAATACCTCAGCGGTGGAGCCAGAAATGTGGCGAGTGGGTTGACTAGGTGGCACTATATGGATTTTGATATTTGATAATTCATTTAGTTGTTTAAGTTGTGTTTGGAGCATGTAAAAACGGCTTACATATTCTTGTAGCCCAGTTTCTGCTGTTTAATCTGATGTGCAACATCATTATATTGGTTCGTGATAAGTGCATTTTTTCCGACGGTATATGCTAAACTTTCTCCACAGCCCCCAAAAAAGGGGGTGCTCGGGAGCAGCATCCCGTCATGAGCGTATTCATGTATCCGTTTTCTTTTACAAAGCAAGAATGATGGTCTGGAGAAATGGGGATTGTGTGGCGATTGCTTTAGCCCTGTTTGAATCAGTAGGGAACAGCTAAACGCTGCGGGGAGAGTTTGTAGCTTGTGTGCTGCTGTTGTTTTCCTGCTAAGCTAGTTTAGCATAGCCTCCGTTTTGAAGCCTCCAGTTTGGCGATTTGTCCGTAGCCATCTTGTTTTTATCAAGCAGTGAACAGGAAGTGACCATATTAGGACTGAGGAGGCGTGACGTATAGACCTGTCAATCACTGTGTAGCCCCGCCCTAAATCATCCCCTGCTTTATGGTCTGTTTGACTCTAAATGGACCATAATTTACTAAATGAACATCATGCTGTATTGAAGAAGACTTGAAACTAGAGATTGAGACCATAAACTCATGTTTACAATGTTTACTGAGGTAATAAATCAAGAGAGAAGTAGGGTCATGTTCTCATAGACTTCTATACAACCAGAGGAGTCGCCCCCTGATGGACACTAGAGAGAATACAGCTTTAACACATGAAGCTTTGACTTTACTTTAAATAACTTTTCTCCTAGTTTATTAAACCTCAGAAGAGTCGACTCATTGGAGAAATATTATAATATATATTATAATATTAATACAGAAACTGATCTTTGAACAAAATACAAATTCTCAGTTTGATGTTCAAAATAAACAAATACATTTATTGTAGAAGTTTACAATCCTGACGGTGACGATGATGTCACATCAAGTCAACACAGAAACTTAACTGAAACTTATTTTTATTTATTTTTCTCTAAAACAAAATAAATGTCTATGAACAGAATTCCACATTTTAAATATTTAAAAAACACCAATGAGCTGCTGAGACTCAGTGGGCGTGGCCTACAGCTAGTGGGAGGGGGGGGATTTCCTGGGCCATGCTGTTTGGTCGGTACACTGGAAACGGTAGCGCAGGAATCGAACTCGCGGCTTTATGTGGAAGTCAGCAGGTATCCTCCAATTCCACATTTTCTGCACCTGAAACCAAAACTAGATTTAACTATTTACACTTTGTTTTATTTACGCAATATACAAGTTAAGATTTGACAAAAAAAACCTTAACTTTTCATTAAATATGGTTAATAACATTAAATATGATTCATTATATTGAATAACTTATCTTTATCTTTAGGGTTAGGGTTATCTTTTATGTGAATGTGACTCATCAGGCAAAACGTGCTTTAGGACCTCAACTCTAAAATGTGTTCTGGAGAAACTCATCTAATAATCCAAAGGTGCTTTTCCTCTTGTGTTATCAGAATAAGAAATAAGATGAAGTATCAGAGAGCAGGGTTCTCCACATATCAATAAATACATGAGAGGGTTCTGGAGAAACATAATAAGAAATAAGGGAACCATCAGACAGCAGGGTTCTCCACATATCAATAAATACATGAGAGGGTTCTGGAGAAACAATAATAAGAGATAAGAGGAACCATCAGACAGCAGGGTTCTCCACATATCAATAAATACATGAGAGGGTTCTGGAGAAACATAATAAGAGATAAGAGGAACCATCAGACAGCAGGGTTCTCCACATATCAATAAATACATGAGGGTTCTGAGGACTTGGACCTGTACGAACCTTCAGGACCCTGACCAGATGGGTTGTACTGTTCAGTGACTGAACCTGCAGAGAGCAAGCGGAACCAAGAAAAGAGAAAGAACAAGGCTTCAGCACCTGATCTCAGGAAAGTTCCACTAAAACAACTAGTTAAGGTCAATCTTTAACCAGACTAGTTAATGCAAACCTTAACAAGTCTAGTTAATACCAACCTTTAATGAGACTACTTAATGCAAAGAGACTAGTTAATGTCAGCCCTTAACAAGACTAGTTGGAGACTAGTTAATGTCAGCCCTTAACAAGACTAGTTAAAGACTAGCTAATGCTAACCCTTAACAAGACTAGTGAATGCCAACCTTAACAAGACTAATTAATGCCAACCTTAACGAGTCTGGTTAATACCAACCGTAACAAGACTAGTTTAATGCCAACTATTAACAAGACTAGTCAATGCAAAGAGACTAGTTAATGCAAAGAGACTAGTAAATGCCAACCCTTAACAAGACTAGTTAATGCCAACTTTTAACAAGACCAGTTAA